CCGCCAGGCTCGTCAGCCTGCCCGCATGCCCGGGCACTTGGAATTCCAGGCTGAGGGTACAGCCAGGGAACCCGCTCAGGCGGAGCCCAGGCCCATTGGGACTGGCCCCACCAGGCCCGACCCTCAAGCACAGCGCCAGGACTCGCCTTGACCCCCCCCCTCCCCCCAGCACTGCTGGGTGTGGCCCGAGAACCAAGGAAAAAAGATAATTAAAATAACAGGAAATGGTGTCCTGGTTTGTTTTGCTCCAAGCACAGGCCAGACATTACCAGACCCCCCCAGACACCACCCCCTCTCCCCCACTTTGTCCCATCTGCCACGTGGTGGGGGGAGGGGAGCACGTTGTTTTTTTCTGGACAGCAACAAAATCTGACAATGTTGATGACCTAGAGGGATTGGAGAGAGACTGTCTGGAAGGCAGCAGGGATCAGCCTGCAAGACGTGTGTGCCCTCTGTAGGTTGGACATGGGGGAGCCCTGGAGCCCCCCAGACACAGCTGGGCAGTGGTTGCAGCCCCCCAGCACCTCTGGGTGTGGCCTCATAAGGGAAAAGGCAGGAAAGCAGCTCTGAGGCTTCAAAGGCCAGAGTGCGTTGGGGGTCGGGGGTGGGTGTGGGAAGGGAACTAGGGGGCATTCCGAGAAGCTGAGTGGGGCCCAACTGCAAGCAGGGAGGGGCCCCCTGAGGAACATCAGACCTGTGCCCGGCGGGGCACCCCCTACCAGGGCCCAGCCCAGGGCTCTGTGCTGTGGGGGAGGTGACAGCCAGGCTGTGCGGCCACCCGCACCCTGGGCGCTGGGCTGTCTGGCCTGCTGCGTGTGGCTGCTGACAGCCGCTTGGCCTCAGCTTGGCCCGAGTCCGAGCCACTGGCTCCCTCCTACGTCCCCTTCGTCCCTGGAATTCTGGAATTTTCCTCGTGGGGCCCTGCCCATTGGGGAGCGGGTCGACGGCTGTGCAGGGCGGGTGTCCTGGAAAGAGCTGCTCACTCAGCGGCAGCAGACGTCTCCCCACAGGGGGCCAAAGAGAGAGGGCAGCGCGGCCAGGCTGGACCTCAGAACCCCAGAGGGACCCCTGAGCACTGCCAGGGTGGCCTGGTGGAGAGACCACCTCTAGGGAGACAGCCACTGTGGGGTCCCCGCCACACCCTTCTCCCTGCCTGGGAAGCCACAGAGCTCCCCACCCCAATTGCACCCTGAATAGCCTGGCTGCCCCTCCCATCTCACCCCTTCAATAGGGCCTTGAGTCTTAAGGGAGTCCCAGCTTTAAAGCCAGCCCCCACCCACCTCCTCAGGCCTCTGCGTCCCCAAAAAAAGCAACCAGCAGTCAGATCAGAGTCCAGGTGGCCAACCCACCACCCCTCCCCACAGAGACCTTCAAAGCAGCCGGCGGGGTCCCTCACCGCAGCCCATGAGCCGGGACTCCTTTGAAGCAAGAGTGCTTGGGGGGGCCCAGAAGCCTACAAGCACCCAGTGTCCCCCGGACTCCCCCAGGTGAGTGGGAGCACACCCAGTGGGCGGGGGAAGGGGCTCCCTGGTTCCCGCGGGCCCCATGTGGTCGGAGAGAGGCGTCCACTGACCTGTACTCAGGCCTGGGACTGAGCTCAGAATCGGGGGCAGACTCAGGTGCCTTGCCTCTCTGGGTGACATCCCTAAGAGGGTGGGGCGCAGCAGGGCTGGGGGACAGAGACGGGGACCCTGTCCTCACCAGCGGCGTCAAAGGGTGGGAGAGCTGGGGGGGGCATCTGTGCTTGGGGTGTGGGGCCCTGGGTTCAGCCGTGGCACTGTTGGTGTGACCCCAGCCAGGGAAGACTCCATGCCCATTCACAAAGGCTCACTGTTACTCATGGGCTGCATTGGGGGAGGAATTTCCTTTTCAGGGATGATGGAATGTTCTGGAACTCGGTAGGGCAGTGGCTACATCGTGAATGTGTTCACTCCTTGTGAACGGAGCATTTGAGAATGAATAACTGTGAATTCGCCACCATGATTATAAAGCTGCAGGTGGGAGGGGGGCGGGACCGAGCGACAGGACAGAGGGGAGGCACCGGCCTTGCACACATGTCACCCGGGTTTAATCCCCAGGATCCCATATGGTGCCCCTGAGCACCACCAGGAGTAATTCCTGAGTGCAGAGTCAGAAGTAACCTCTGAGCAACACAGGGTGTGGCCCCAAAGCCAAAAAAAAAAAAAAAGATTTTAAAAGGAACAGTAATCCTTCCAAACAAAATTACATGAGGGACGGGAGCGGTAGTACAGCTGGTAGGGTGTTTGCCTGGTTCCATTCCTGGCACCCCACATAGTCCTCTGAGCACCACAGGGCATGATCCCAAAATCAAAACAAGCAAACAAAATTACAGCAGTTTGGCCTCGTGTGTGTGGGTCTGCGGCCTGGTTGCAATCAGGAACCAGAGGGACAAAGGGTTTGTGAACTCAAGCGTGGCGCGCAGGCCAGCAGCACCTCATAGCGCGGGGCCTGCTTCCCCCCCCCCACTTCGTGCCCTTGACCTGGAGCCCAGAGTCCACTGGGCTGACAGGAATCCACAGGCATGCAGACGATGTGGGTGGGGCGGCAGGATGCAGCCACCCACTGTGTAAGTCACCCTTGGGACTCTGTCCTCAGCAGCCAGGACTGGCAAGGACTGGAGGGGGGTTCTGTGCCCAGTACCTTGCTTCTACCTGGGAGGAAGGGAGGGGAAAGAGAAAGATACGAATCTTGGGGGTAACATAGGCTGGCAATCTGGAAGGCGGGTGGCACACGAGGAAGCTAGGGAGGTGGCCCGGGGGTACCAGGTGCCTTAAGTACAGAGGCCCCCCACCCCCCAGCTTGGAGCCTTGAAACTGCTGAGCCTTCCCTGATGCCAGAGCCTTGTTAGGCCAGGTCCACCCTGCTGACAGCCCCAAGTTCTCACTATCAGGTCCATTGATCTGAAGCGAGAGGGGAAGCCCCAGCCCTGCTCAAGGGGTACAGCTGGAGCCCCAGATCTGAGCCTTCTCCCTGGGCTTTGCGCAGGCCACAGGGGCGCTTTGGCAGCCCTCGAGCTTGTCTCGTCAGACAGTTCCAGAAGCAAGGAAGGAGTAGTAGCCCAGGCTAGGATAGGTCCACAGGTGACCTGGCTCCCAGCTCCCTCGACACACAGGCTGCAAGGGGGTCACTGGCTGAGGGTCCAAGCCAGCTCACACCACCCAGTGTCTGTTGAGGCCCACAACACAGGGCCCTGCCATCAGTAACCCTTGGGCTATCCGTAAGGGGGTCCTCTTTCTAGGAGGGAACTGGGATCAACCCTGCCCACAGGAATTCTCCCCTTAAGAGTAAGTTAATAGTAAGGCCCTGAGCAATAGGACAGCGTGGAGGGCTTTTGCCTTGCATGTGGCCAACCTGAGTTCTATCCCCAGCATCCCATACAGTCCCTGAGCACCGCCAGGAGCAGTTCTTTTTTTGGGTCACACCTGGTGATGCATAGGGGTTACTCCTGGCTTTGCACTCAGGAGTACTCCAGGCGGTGCTCAGGGGACCATATGGGATGCTGGGAATAGACCCTGGGTCAGCCGCATGCAAGGCAAACGCCCCACCCGCTGTGCTATCTCTCCAGCCCCAGGAGTAATTCTTTTTTTGGGTCACACCTGGCGATACACAGGGGTTACTCCTGGCTCATACACTCAGAAGTTACTCCTGGCGGTGCTCAGGGGACCATATGGGATGCTGAGAATTGACCCCGGGTCAGCCGCATGCAACGCCCTACCTGCTGTGCTATCACTCCAGCCCCAACCCAGGAGTAATTCTTGAATGCAGAGCCAGGAATAACTCCTGAGCATCCCCAAGTGTGACCAAAAAGCCAAAAAAAAAAAGTAAAGTTAATAACACAAGCAAGCAGTAGCTCAGCTATTTCTGGACCACACCTGGTAGCGCTCAGGAGTTTACTCTTGGCTCTGTGCTCAAGGAACCCTACCGGGTACCAGATATCAGACCCCAGGTCGGCCATGCGCCAGGCAAGTGCCCTCCCCATCCCGCTGAGCCCCTGGCCAGGCAGTGACTCATTCCTTCCTCCTCTCATCTTCATGGTTCTTCTTTCCCTGTCCCAGTCATTTGTGTTAGGGCAGGGCTCACGTCTGCGCGAGTCACCGAGAATGTTCCCGGAGAGCCCGGGGGTCCGCGGGGGGCCATGCGTCTCCCCAGCACCAGGGCTTCACTTTGTTTCTCCGGGCGTCGCGTCTTCAGACCCATAGCAGTTGGAGCGGCTTCTGGGTTCACGGCCCCCCGGGAAACCGTGGGGACGTGCCGGTCATTGCCAACACGTGCTCTACTGCTGGTTTCATCTCGGTGGTCTGGGGGTGCACCTGCAAAACGGGGGTCTCGAGCTGCCTCGGGGAGTCACCTTACAGGCCGGTCTGCTTGGAGCTACGGAAAAGGCCCAGGCAACCAGTCCAGCCCCAGAGCGCCGGGCACCCCGTTGCAGTGGCGGGGAAAACGAGGTGCGGGGCCTTCTCGAGGGCGCTTCAGGCGGTCCGAGCTGGGCACGGCTGCCCTCGCCCCGCCGCACGCACCCACCGGGCTCCCGGGCGCATCCCCGCGACGCGCGAATCCTTCGCCGCCCGCCCGGCAGCCCGGGACCCCGGCCCGCGCCCCGCCGCCCGCGAGCAGCGGTTGGGCGGACCCAGGTCCTCGCGCAGCCGCGCCGGCCGCGGCGGTTGGCAGCCCCGCCCCCACGCGCATGCGCGCCGCGCTCCCTGCCGGCCCGCGCAGCTCGGGGCCGCCGGGCACAGTGGGCGGTGTCGGCGGGGCGCGCGCGCGCCTGCGTCGCGGCGGCCCCGGCGCACGCGCGCCTGCGCCGGCGTCGCTCGCGCACGCGCACGGCGGCGGCGGTGGCGGCGGTTCCTGGCGGGGCCGCGAGCGGCGGGCTCGGGGCGTGCGGCGGCGGCGGCGGCGGCGGCGGCGCGGGGCCGGGTCGGAGCGCGGGGCCGGGGCGGGCGCGGGCCGGGCCGGGCGGGCGCGGGGGCCGGGCCGGGCGGGCGCGGGGCCGGCGCGCGCGGCGGGCGTTTCGGGCGGCGCGGGGCCGCGGCCTAGGCCTCGGCGGCGAGTGCGGGCCTGCGTGCCCGGCGGCGGCGGCGGCATGAGCGTGGAGGCGTACGGGCCCAGCTCGCAGACGCTCACCTTCCTGGACACGGAGGAGGCCGAGCTGCTGGGCGCCGACACGCAGGGCTCCGAGTTCGAGTTCACCGACTTCACCCTCCCCAGCCAGACGCAGACGCCCCCCGGCGGCCCCGGCGCGGGCGGAGCGGGCGCGGCGGGCGCGGCGGGCGCGGCCGGACAGCTGGACGCGCAGGTGAGCGCACATGGCGGCGCCGGACACCCCCGCGCGGGGACCCCCGCCGGCCCCGCGGTTCCGGCCGGCCGGGCCGGGCCTCGGCTGGCCGTTTCCCGGGCTCTGTTGGGTTCATGGGGGGAGGGGCCTCTGCTCCGCGCCCCACGTTGTGACTTTGGTTCGGGCCGATGCGCTCCGGTGCCTGGGTCGGACCGGCCGCGGGAGTCCCGGCCCGGCCCAGGCCGCTTCCGGGTGACCGGCCCGCCCCCCCACTTCCTCCTCCTCCTCCTCCTCCTCCCAGGTGTGTGCACGCTGGCCCGGCCCGCGGCTGCGCCCCGCCGTGGGGGCGGCCCCCGGGCCGCGCGGCCTGGGGGCCCGTGTGCCCCCTGGGACCCCCGGGCGGGAGCGGGGAGGCCCCGCGCGCGCCCGGCCTCGGCGCCCGGGTCTGTTTGCCTTTTCGGACTCGCCTGTTGCTGAAACCCGCCTGTTATGTAACCGCTGCCCCGCCTGGCCCAGCCGGGTTTAAAGTTGGTTCCTCCCGTGGGCGCCCGGCGTGGGAGGTGCCACGGCGCCCCTCCTGGGCCCCGCGGCGTGGACATCCAGCCTGGGTTACCCGGATGAGGCTGTGAGAGGTGTCGGGCCGCCCGGGTCGTCGGTTGGTCTGGGGTGTAGGGGACACCCGCGCCCTCGACCCTGTCGCTGTCACTCACTGCCCTTATCTCCGGGCACCTGCAGCTTTTACTCGGGGCGGTGCAGGTGTGCCCTGCGTGGGCACCCATGTCCCCTCTCTCTGGGGGGCGGGAGGGGGGAGAATCCTTGTTGGCGGCTTGAGTCATGCCCGTGGGCAGACCACCCACTCAGCCTCACTCTCAGCCCCAGGGAGCGGGAGTATTTGACTCATCTGATCCCTGCTCGTTGGAAATAGCAGCCGTGGGGCGGGGGCCAGGTGTGCCAGCTCTTTGGGTTGTGTTTACCTGAAGGGGGGGTTGGCCCGAGCCGAGATCCGTGATCGAGCACAGGGCCTTGCCTGCCCTCTCTCACAGCCGCTTCCGCTTCCCTGACCCCAGCCTCGGCGGCCTTTAAAGCTCCTAGTGCAAACGCCCTTTCTGTGTGGCTTTTTCTCGCGTCTTGCGGGTCCAGCTGTCTGTGGGGAGCCCAGGTTCTGAGCAGGAAGTGCACGTTGGCGGAGCCAGGCCCAGCCCTGCTCAGCAGCCCTGGGCAGGAAGGTGCTCGTGGCCAGCAGGGGGCGGGCTCCCGGCCAGGGGCCTGGTCAGTGCTTTCCTGGGGTGGGCTGCCCCGCACAGAGGAACCTTCTTGGTATCCTGTTGATGGAGAAGCCCCGTGTCCTCTGCTGACTGTGCTGCGAGCGGGCGGGTGCTGAGGGCAGGTCTCCTCCTGGGGATCCCCACATCCTCTGCTGCTCCCGAAACCTGCTTCTAGATTGTTCTCAGGGCTGACCCCTTTGGAAGCACAGACCCTCGCCGTCTGCGCTGGCCTGCCTCCTACCCAGGAGCGCGGGGTGGGGGCCCCGGGCTCGGCCCAGTGCCCCTGTCCCCGTGGCTGTGGGACTGTGGCCACCCCTTCCCCCCAGCCCCTGACATGCTCCCCTGACTCTCGAGTTGGGTCCACCCGGCTGGGCTCTGCGTTTGGCTAACTTCGCGGGATGGACCCTTGGACCGTGCAGGGGCCCAGGGACACTTGGTGATAGTCAGCCACTAGGCCTCTGCTGGCCTCTGTTTTCTGGGGGGGCACACCTGGTGGTGTTGGATGTATCCAGCCCTGTGCTCCCTCTCACCCTGCCTTACTGTCCTAGAAAGGTTTGGTGGGGGGGCCACCAGGCCACACCAGAGCTGGGAGTATGTCTGCAAAGCTTGGATAGGTGCGGGCCGAGTCCAGGCCCTGGGTGTGCCCACCTGTTTCCTCCCCCCGTCCGACTGTAGAACTTAGATTTGGGGGTTCCTAGTACCCAGAACCTCTCTTACTGGGAGTTCTGGTGGAGTTTCTCGGTTATAGAATGGAGACTCTCCTGTATTTGATCGCCCCCTCCCCATTTCAGGAAAGTCTGCTGTACTCTGGTGTCTCCATTCTTTGGGGGCGCCCACACCCAGTAGTGCTCAGAAGTGACTCCTGGCTCTGCCCTCAGGGATTGAACCCTATTGTCTGTGTCACAGCTTAGTGTCCCCCCTGCCGTCCTGTCTTGGCCCTGGACATCTGTGTTTTTTAAGTGAACAAAGTGCCCTGGTTGCCCCCCAGCTGCTGCCACCCCTGGGTCATTGTGGGGTGATGTTGCCTCACGGGCAGGAGGTCCTGAGTTGGTTGGACAGACGCAGCAGCTTGCCGGGCAGGGCCTTGGAAGCTACCACCTTGGACCTGTTTCTCGGATGTTCTTGGGCATCAACGAGAGGGTGGTTCACCTACAGATAGGCCCAGGGAGTGGCTTTGTGGGTCCCTAGAGCCTGGCTGATTCTCCAGCGTTGAGCCCGGCTCGAGGTCAGCCAGCATGTCCGGGCTGGGTACAGGGACAGTGTGGTTTGTCCGTAGCGCCCGCGTCCCTGTTTCTCTGCTCCAGGATGCGACTCCAAGAGGAGGGTCTAATTCAGTGGGGCAGGTTGAAGGTTCTGGAATAGGGTGGGGCTGGGCAGGAGTAGGGTCTCCAGAGCTGGGTCATGTGAGGTGCCCCTCCCTCCTCGCCTGCAAGTTGGGACCAACCCGGCCCAGGTGCTGTCTCTCAGAAGGGGTTTTTTGGGGGCCGTGTCTCCACTGGGATGCTGGGGTCAGCGGGCAGCTGGGGCTCCTGTGACGCCCCTTTCCACACAGGTGGGCGGGCCCGAGGGCATTCTGCAGAATGGGGCTGTGGACGAGAGTGTGGCCAAGACCAGCCAGCTGTTGGCCGAGCTCAACTTTGAGGAAGATGAGGAGGACACGTACTACACGAAGGACCTCCCTGTGCACGCCTGCAGGTGAGCTGTGGCGTTCCTGAGGGCAGGGCGCCCTCTGCTGGGACAGGAGCGCAGTGTGCTCTGGGACGCCCCCGCCCTGGTTCTCCCGCGCCCCCCCCCCCCCCCCCATCCCAGGCTCTGGCAGGAAGCCTCTGCTGGCCACTGATTGGATTCAGTTGTGGAGATGGTTGCGTTTGAGTATGTGTCTAATGAAAACTTAGAAATGTTGTAAATGGAAAGAATTTTACATGCTGCCAAATTAGAACCAGAGCGTGTGTTCCCCCCATCCAGGGCTCGTGCTCCCCCCATCCAGGGCTTGTGCTCCCTCTGATCACTGCTCTTGACTTCTGCAGCTACTGTGGCATCCATGACCCGGCGTGCGTGGTATACTGCAACACCAGCAAGAAATGGTTCTGCAATGGCCGCGGAAACACTTCCGGCAGGTAGGGAGGGATCCGGGGACACTCGGGCAGGTAGGGATCCCGGGGACACTCGGGCAGGTAGGGGCCTGGCTGCTCAGGTTCTTCCATCGGCTCTGGCTTGCTCGGCAGGCGGCCTGCCCTGCGCTAACAGGAACCAGATGTGGGGAGCTGCCTGGTGTTTATCTGAGCATCGTTCTCTGCGGTTCTCTTTGTTATGCATGTCGGGCTGGACGCGCGCGCTCCCTCTGGGTTTTATTTATGTATTTTTGCAAGTTGTTTGTCTTTATTAGGGGGTGTTTGGTGGGGGTTCCCAGGACTGGGGCGCGGGGGGTGGTGCTTCGTGAGGTCCTGGCTGGTCGTGCCCCCTCTCTGAGTAAGCGCAGCTGTGCTGGCACCTCGTCGTACCTTAGGGCACGGGGGCCGGGTGCGTGCAGGGGCTTCCTGCTGGCCTCGTTGCGGGCCGCTGTCTCGGCCCTCCCCGAGGCAGTTCACTCTCATATGTAGTGTTCTGGCAGCCCTGGAGGAGGCGAGGTGTCCATGGGCACAGGGCATGTGGGCCTGAGCCCTGGAGAAGAGTGTTTGGGGCCTCAGCATCTGGGTGGGCCTGCCTGGGCCTCAGCTGGGGGCTGCACCCGCGAAGGCAGAAACTGCAGCCAGGCAGGAAAGGGGGCGGCCTGGCCACCCCTGGGACACCAGATGCAGGAGGTGTGGGGCCGCCCTTAATGGGCCGTGACCGGGCTGGAGCCAGCACCGGAACTCGGCCCGGGTGTGACCCGTCTTCCCGGCCACAGCCACATCGTGAATCACCTGGTGCGAGCCAAGTGCAAGGAGGTGACACTGCACAAGGACGGGCCCCTGGGCGAGACGGTGCTTGAATGCTACAACTGCGGCTGCCGCAACGTCTTCCTGCTCGGCTTCATCCCCGCCAAGGCCGACTCGGTGGTGGTGCTGCTGTGCCGCCAGCCCTGTGCCAGCCAGAGCAGCCTCAAGGACATCAACTGGGACAGCTCGCAGTGGCAGCCCCTCATCCAGGACCGCTGTTTCTTGTCATGGCTGGTGAAGATCCCGTCGGAGCAGGAGCAGCTGCGGGCCCGGCAGATCACAGCCCAGCAGATCAACAAGCTGGAGGAGCTGTGGAAGGTGCGGGGGGCGTGGGGCACTGGGACTGAGGCCGGGGGGCGGCGGGGCCGGGGCTGAGCCGCTGCTCGTGCAGGAGAACCCGTGCGCCACGCTGGAGGACCTGGAGAAGCCGGGCGTGGACGAGGAGCCACAGCACGTGCTGCTGCGCTACGAGGACGCCTACCAGTACCAGAACATCTTCGGGCCGCTCGTCAAGCTGGAGGCCGACTACGACAAGAAGCTCAAGGAGTCCCAGGTGCGCGCACGGGGCCGCGGCCGGGCCGGCCAGGACGAGCCCGCGGCGGCCCGGATGCCGCCTCCCGGCCAGGTGCTCCCAGGGCCCCAGCTGACGGCTTTTGTTTCCCGTGTGCCCAGACTCAAGATAACATCACGGTCAGGTGGGACCTGGGCCTTAACAAGAAGAGAATCGCCTACTTCACTTTGCCCAAGACTGACTCTGGTAATGAGGATTTAGTCATAATTTGGTTAAGAGGTGATTTTAAGTTTTGAAATACTCGTGACCACAGTAGCGTAACTCCCTAGTCTCCCCGCAACGCGCCTTCGTGTGTCGGGCCGGGGGCGCCCCGCCTCCGCCCACGCCTGGCCCCGCTCTCTCCACAGACATGCGGCTCATGCAGGGGGATGAGATCTGCCTGCGCTACAAGGGGGACCTGGCGCCCCTGTGGAAGGGCATCGGCCACGTCATCAAGGTCCCGGACAGTATCCTTAGGGGCAGCCGCTGCGGTGGGGGTGGGTGGGCTGGGCCGCGGAGGAGGGCTTGGCATGGGGACAGTGCTCCCGGGGGCCCACCACGGGCTCCCGGCAGGAGGCGGTGGGGCCAGCTGACAGACCAGGACAGGACTTAACTCGCGTCGCAGATTATGGCGACGAGATTGCCATTGAGCTGCGCAGCGGGGTGGGCGCGCCCGTGGAGGTGACCCACAACTTCCAGGTGGACTTCGTGTGGAAGTCCACGTCCTTCGACAGGTCGGTGGCCGCGGGCGCAGGGCCGCGGGCTGGCCACGCTGCTCCCCCCCGCCGCCCACTCAGCCCGGCCACGCCCTCGCTGCCCACAGGATGCAGAGTGCCCTGAAGACGTTTGCGGTGGACGAGACATCGGTGTCCGGGTACATCTACCACAAGCTGCTGGGCCACGAGGTGGAGGACGTGATCGTGAAGTGCCAGCTGCCCAAGCGCTTCACGGCCCAGGGGCTCCCGGACCTCAACCACTCACAGGTGTACGCCGTGAAGACCGTGCTGCAGAGGCCGCTGAGTCTGATCCAGGGCCCGCCCGGCACGGGCAAGACCGTCACCTCGGCCACCATCGTCTACCACCTGGCGCGGCAGGGCAATGGGTAGGCGACCTCGGGTCCGGGGAGGGGGCAGGGGCAGGACTGGCGCACCACCGCCTCCCTGATGGCCCTCGTTCGCAGGCCCGTGCTCGTGTGCGCGCCCAGCAACATTGCGGTGGACCAACTGACCGAGAAGATCCACCAGACTGGGCTGAAGGTGGTTCGGCTCTGCGCCAAGAGCCGCGAGGCCATTGACTCACCTGTGTCCTTCCTGGCCCTGCACAATCAGATCCGGAACATGGACAGGTGGGTGCCGGCCAGGGTGAGCGAGGATGGGGGTTTTGGAGGGGTGCCTGCCTGCCCACTGACTGTGCCCGCTGCTCTCTCAGCATGCCGGAGTTGCAGAAGCTGCAGCAGCTCAAGGACGAGACGGGGGAGCTGTCGTCAGCAGATGAGAAGCGGTACCGCGCCCTGAAGCGCACAGCCGAGCGGGAGCTGCTCATGGTGAGGGCGAGGGCCAGGAGGGCCAGGGCGGGTGTGGCCAGGCCAGGCCGATGTTGACTCTGCGTTCCACAGAATGCCGATGTCATCTGCTGCACGTGTGTGGGGGCTGGCGACCCCCGGCTGGCCAAGATGCAGTTCCGCTCCATCCTCATCGACGAGAGCACGCAGGCGACTGAGCCCGAGTGCATGGTCCCTGTAGTCCTGGGGGCCAAGCAGGTGGGCACCAAGGGCCCTGCGGGGAGCTGGCGGGTCGGGGCAGACACGGGGGCTACAGCCTGAGCGCTCTACCCATCCTGTCCCCACAGCTCATCCTCGTGGGCGACCACTGCCAGCTGGGCCCCGTGGTGATGTGCAAGAAGGCGGCCAAGGCCGGGCTCTCTCAGTCACTGTTTGAGCGCCTGGTGGTGCTGGGCATCCGGCCCATCCGCCTGCAGGTGCAGTACCGCATGCATCCTGCGCTCAGCGCCTTCCCTTCCAACATTTTCTATGAGGGCTCCCTGCAGAACGGCGTCACCGCGGGTGAGTCGCCCTCATTGCCCCTGCTCAAGGCAGGCCATGGTCCCCAGCTGGCCTGGAGCCTGGCCCAGGGCACCGGGGAGAGCCGGCTGCCAAGGGCGTGGACCCCGTCTGGGAGGCCTGGATGATAACTGACCGGCGTGCTGCGGGGACGCGGGGCTGGGCTCCTCTGCCCAGCCCCACCCCCTTGACGCCCACCATCCTTCCCCGACAGCGGACCGAGTGAAGAAAGGCTTTGACTTCCAGTGGCCACAGCCTGACAAGCCGATGTTCTTCTACGTGACACAGGGCCAGGAGGAGATTGCCAGCTCGGGCACCTCCTACCTCAACCGGTGAGGTGCCCGCTGGGCTGCGCGGCCACTGGGCCCTGGAACCTGCTGGGCCTGACCCCATCTGTGTCATAGGACGGAGGCGGCCAACGTGGAGAAGATCACCACGAAGCTGCTCAAGGCGGGGGCCAAGCCCGACCAGATCGGCATCATCACGCCCTACGAGGGCCAGCGCTCCTACTTGGTGCAGTACATGCAGTTCAGCGGCTCCCTGCACACCAAGCTCTACCAGGTGGGCGCCAGCCGGGGGTGGGGGGGCCCTCAGGGTAGGGTCCAGGCACACAGCAGCCACACAGACCAGACAGTCAGGTCCTGCCCCACCTGCCAGCACTTGCCCCCTCAGGCTCTGGGCAGCCCAATTCCTGATAGTCCCATCAGGCCACTCTCCCTCCTTTGGGCCCTCGTCCAGAGTGGCCCCTGCCCTCCCCCACAGCGGCCAGCTTCCTACCAAGGTCCAGGATCATGCTCACCTCGGGTGGGGATCGGCCATCCCCTCCCTTGTCTGTCCCGCGTCCGTCCCCGTCTGACCCAGCCCAGGGCACTCGGGGCCTCTCTGAGGAGGCGTGTTTGCCCATTGCACAGGAGGTGGAGATCGCCAGCGTGGACGCCTTCCAGGGCCGTGAGAAGGACTTCATCATCCTGTCGTGCGTGCGTGCCAACGAGCACCAGGGCATCGGCTTCCTCAATGACCCTCGGCGGCTGAATGTGGCGCTGACGCGTGCGCGGTGAGACCCCAGTCCCCAGCTTGGGGCCCACCCTGGCGACTTCGCTGGGCACTGAGTGCAGCTCCCCTTGCCCCCAGGTACGGGGTGATCATCGTGGGCAACCCCAAGGCCCTGTCGAAGCAGCCGCTGTGGAACCACCTACTGAACTACTACAAGGAGCAGAAGGTGCTGGTCGAGGGGCCCCTCAACAACCTGCGCGAGAGCCTCATGCAGTTCAGCAAGCCCCGGAAGTTGGTCAACACCATCAACCCGGTGAGGGGCCGTTGGGGCGGCCGGGAGGGGCGGACCTGGGCCTGGGGCAGGGCGCCTCCCTCACTGCCCTCTTCCTGCAGGGCGCCCGCTTCATGACCACGGCCATGTATGACGCCCGCGAGGCCATCATCCCGGGCTCCGTGTACGACCGCAGCAGCCAGGGTGAGCTGCCCCGGGCCTGTGCTTGGCATTTGTCTGTCTGTTGAAGTCCTCGGTGTTCGCGGGTCACTGTCTGGGTCTGTGCTGGGCCAAGCATCCCTCCACCTTTCCTGGGAAACAGCCCACGGGCTACTCCTGGTGGTGCCCTCATAGAATCTCGGGTACCCCTGCCAGACGTGTGCCCGCTCAGCTCCGGCTGGGATCCCTTTTCCCTTTTTGGGGGTTTTTGAGCAACACTTGAGGACTGGCCCAAGGCGTGACCAGGTGGTGGGAGGGGCATTGTCAGCTCTGGTCTGGGCCCTGTTTATGGGGGGGGCTGGGAGAGGTGTTCCAGTTTGATTTGGGGACACACTTAACTGCTCAGGGTTGACCACTGGTGGGCCGGCTCGGGGGAGCCTGGGGAGGGCCGCCTGCGGTGCTGACCTCCCCCACCCCACAGGCCGGCCCTCCAGCATGTACTTCCAGACCCACGACCAGATCGGCATGATTGGTGCGGGCCCGAGCCACGTGGCCGCCATGAACATCCCCATCCCCTTCAACCTGGTCATGCCGCCCATGCCGCCGCCCGGCTACTTCGGACAGGCCAACGGGCCGGCTGCAGGTGTGTGCCCGCCGCGCCCCAGGGCTGCACCCGCGCCCGCGCTCGCTCCTTCACGGCTCCCCCGCTGTCTTTCAGGCCGGGGAACTCCCAAAGGCAAGACGGGGCGCGGGGGCCGCCAGAAGCACCGCTTCGGCCTGCCGGGACCGGGCCCCGCTGCCCTGCCCAGCAGCCAGGCCAGCCAGGATGCCGTGTCGCAGGCCTTCTCGCAGGGCGCGCTCACGCAGGCCTACATCTCCATGAGCCAGCCCTCGCAGATGAGCCAGCCCGGCCTCTCGCAGCCCGAGCTCTCCCAGGACAGCTACCTCGGCGACGAGTTCAAGTCCCAGATTGACGTGGCCCTGTCCCAGGACTCCACATACCAGGGCGAGCGGGCCTACCAGCACGGGGGCGTGACGGGGCTGTCCCAGTACTAGCAGGTGCGACCCCGCGGGGCCAGGGGGCTGCGGGCCACGGGCCAGGCCCCCTCCGGCCTCCTGACGCTCCCACCCCCACAGGTGGCGGCGGAAGAGCTAAGCTACGTGGCTTAGTCCAGCAGCATCTTATTCTGGGTAATAAAAAATAAAACTCAATGGATACCTGTTTTCCACTGCTAAAACCGAAGCCCCGCTGGGAGCCGCAGGAGGGAGGAGCCCGAGAGGAGAGGAGAGGAGAGAGGAGCAGCGCCATGGCCGCCGCGCAGCGCGGGCAGGAGACAGCGGGAGCAGGGCCGCGTGGAGCCGCGCAGGAGGCCCCGCCGCGGGCGCCCAGGCCTGCAGGGTGGCGGGAGGCGACCTGGCCGAGAGCAGCCCTTTCCTCCTTCTGTTTCTGTTTCTCTTGATGGAAGGGGGCTACGTTTTAGCAGGGAACGGCCACCCCTCCATGCTGGGCAGGCTCCTGCGGGCGGGCGGTGCCCCAGGAGGTGGGACTGTGGGGCCGGCGCCGCCCCGCTGCCTGTGTTCTAAGAGGGTTTCATTTAAAGAAAATAAGGTGTTTTGGGTTTTTGGTTTTTGTTTTGTTTTTGTTTTTTTTTTTAAGATACTTTCAAAGGAGTACTGAAATGCCTTCCTGAGTTTGTCTCTTAGTGGTGGACCTGGGAGATTTCGAGAAGCTTCCAGCAGCGAGTGTAAACAGGCCAGCAAGGCTCCACTTAGGACCACCTGGTGAGGCGTCAAGAATGCGATGGTCGCCACGCCGGCCCCACGCAGCCGGCCCCACGCAGCCTCGCAGGACTGGCGTGGGCGGTGCCTCCCAGCCCCTCCCAGGAGTTGGAAGCCTGTGCCGGGAGGGCCATGCTGCCGGACACCCGAGCGCCCCAGCCCTGCTCGCCCACCCCAGCGTTGGGAGCCTCTGCCAGCACCGTCTCCCCTAGGGAGGAGAGCGCGCCAGGAAGCAGCACCCTAGCTGGGCCGCCGCCTGCAGCTCCCTTCCTCGCACCTGACGCTGGTGCCGTCCCCACGCCTTGAGTCCAGCTACATGCAGCAGAGGGGACATGACCTGGGGGGCTCCGGGCCGGCGCTCCGAGTGTGGGGCTCCGTGCCGCACCCCCTCCGTTGCTCCAACGCTTTGCCTCGCCTGTGTGGTCAGCACCTGCCCATCTCTGCAGCGGGCCGCAGTTCCCGTCGGGTGGGGGGGCGTCTGGACCAGGCAATGGAACTTCCGATTCTGGTCACTTTGTTTTTAAGCTCCTTTGTCACCAATAAAATCTTAAACAGCTCTGGGATTCGCACTGGGCTGGCTGCGTGGGGGCAGGTGGGGGTGGCCCAGGGGTAGGGGTAGGTGGCTCTGGGACCCCTGCCTCCCGACCTGCCACAGCTGACCCCCTCTAAGGTAAACAGACTCGGGATTCCCAACAGTAGACCACGTCACGTTTATTGATGCCAGGACTGTGGGCAGCTCAGCGGCAGCTGCACTCATCCACCACCATGTCCTCATAGTGCCGGAGCACGACGTTGTCGCTGTTGTCGAAGAAGAGCACGGAGATGGGCGAGAGGCGCCCGGGCACGCAGCACGGCAGGTCATGGGAGCCCGGCGCGGCAGCGTGCAGGAGCGCGCGCAGCACAGCGTGGTTGAGCGCGGGCGGCCCAGCGGGCCCGGGCAGCGCCACCGGCAGTGCACACTGGCCCTGGCAGTAGTTGGCCAGGAACCCGCGGGGCGCGATGACCCAGCGGTGCCAGCCCACCTCGCGGAAGCTCACGTAGAGGCGCCGCGCCCGGCACGCGTCCCCGGGGCCACCGCCCACCGCGGGCTCGGTGTGGCGCCTGGGCCGCGCCAGAGGGTGGCACAGGCGCGGGTCGAGGGTCACCAGCAGCAGCGAGGCCTCGGCCAGGTGGGCACAGGCGCCGGGGAGCCGCGGGCGCAGCGCCACCGTCAGGCGGACACTGCGCGGGATCGAGGCGTTGCGGGCCCAGGCGGCGTCCAGCAGCTCGGCACGCACGGACGAGCCGGGCGCGGCCACGGCCTGGCGGAGCAGCAGCGGCCCAGCGCCCGCCGGCCCGGCCGCCCGCGCCACGCTCAGCTCCCAGCCGCCCGCCCCGGCCGCCTCGGCGAAGCGCAGCTCCAGGCGCGCCCGGGTCGCGCGCTCCGCGGCGTCCACGGCCGAGAGGTCGAATTCGACGGTCCACTCGGGGCACTGGCCCGCGGCCGCGGCGGGGGGCCGGGCGGCAGCGCCTGCGGGGAGGTGGGAGAGGGCTCGCTCGCGAGGGGTCGTGGAACCGAACGGTTACGCGCGGGGCCGGCCTGGGCGCGCCCTCCGTTCCAGACGTCCAGCCGTGCCAAGTGGGGGTGCTGCGGGGCGGCGCCTGGCAAGCCGAGCGGGGCGCTGAGCCCGGCGCCCTGGGAAAGAGGCACCCTTGACCCCAGCCAGCCCCCCCACACCCCGTGACCACAGGTGCCCACATTCCGAACCGAGCGGCCCTGCGACCCCCGCCCTCACCCCGCCCGCCCACCCAGCTCGCAGGCTCCGCTCCACTCACCGCGGTCCTGGACGTGGCGCACGATGTTTCCGGGGACCCCCAGCTCCTCCACGTGGCAAGGTCGCAGGGGGGCTCCTGGGTGTGTGCGCCGCGGGCTCGCCCTGGCCTCCGGGGGTTCCCGGCGGCGGAAGAGGCGCCACATGAGTGGGGGGACGGGTCGGGGTGTGGGCGCGCCCCGGAGCGCGTCGGGCAGCCCCAGAGCCTGCAGCAGGGCGGCGGTGGGGCCCGGGGGCGCGGGGGTGCGGCCCGAGGTGCGCGCGGGCAGCAGCGAGGCCCAGAGGACAACGAGGAGGAGGAGGGCGCGGAGGGGCGGGTGCATCCTCGCAGGCGGCGGTGGCCGGCGGAGTGTTCGGCCCGCGGGGACCCCCGACTTAGGGGCTGGGGGCGGGGCCGGGGCGGGCTCAGCGCCCGGGGCGCGGGGGAGGTGACCGAGGGGGACCCTGGCCAGCGAAGGGCGGAGCTGGCCGCGGCGAGGGTCCCGGGACCCGGGTCCCGGGGGGATGGGGGCTGCGTGCTTGAGTTTGGGGGGCCGTGGGGGGGTCGGGCTCGGGTTTAGAAGAGTTTGTCCTTCAACAGGCCGTTCCTCAGCGGAGTCCTGCAGACCAGGAGCGAGCCCAGGTGAGCCCCGCCCCCCGTCTCTCCTCCTCCCCCTCGCCCATCATCCCCAGCCGGGCACCAGCTCCCCACCCCATCTGCCCCTCCCCCCTCTGGCGCCCGCCTAGCGACCTTACTGTCACCGCGGGGGCCGATCGCCCCTGCCCCTCCCCCTCCTTGGCTCCTCCTGGCTACCGGCACAGTCAGATGGCAGAGGAGGGGGGTGCATCCGGCTGAGTCCCCGCCTTCACCCCTGACCCCCCTCCCCTGGCCACACTTTTTCCCTCCAGCCTATGTTTGAGGCCTTCCACCATACCATGATGGGGGGTGTTCATAAAGACCCTTCACAGGGACTCGCCCTGCTTCCCACACTCCACCTTTCTGGAAGAGCCCCATGGATGTCATCTGGGGGACTGGCTAGGTCCACCTTACCCGGCGCCCACAGTTTTCCAGCTCCTGCCACATCTACTTCCATGTCAGAGGTGCTGGCTGCAGCCAGAAAGCTGGGGGGTATCCCTGCACCCCAGGGGATCCCGGCCAGAGCACCCCCAGCTCCAGGCCAAACAGTCTGCCCACCGTCCAGCCACACTTTGGTGGGCAAGTTGGCGTGTGATCTGATCCTGCCTGACCCCCGAAACACACAAGGGGCCGTTTGGGCAAGGAGGAGTCTGGAGTTGCTCTGGTCCTGCCACCCCGCGGGTTCCAGCAGGGTGACCCCCCACAGATGGGCGTGGCAGCACCCTCCCCCCTCCCCCATGAGCCCACTTCCCACGGACCTGCCCCTCGACCCCCTTGCATGAGGCCCTGAGAACAGGGCCAGCCCACCACTTGCTCTCCGCCCCCCTCTGTCTCCTGAGCAGAGGCTCTTTCTAGTTATTTACTTTTTGGCAGTGCTACAAGCACTCACCCGCTGGGCCCCAGGGAATGTGTTGGTTTGTTTTGAGGGTCACACGAAGGCGATGCTGCAGGGACCGTAGAACCTGGGGATCCCCCACGCAAGACCTGTGCTCCAGCCCTTGGAACCACCTCCCTGGAACCTCTCAGAGGGACCTTCTGAATCTTTTGTTTATTTATTTATTTTTGCTTTTTGGGTCACACCCGGCGATGCACAGGGGTTACTCCTGGCTCTGCACTCAGGAATTACTCCTGGTGGTGCTCGGGGGGACCATATGGGATGCTGGGAATCGAACCCGGGTCAGCCGCGTGCAAGGCAAATGCCCTACCCACTATGCTATCGCTCCAGCCCCCTTTCTGAGTCTTTTGAACCCTTCATGGCAGCGTCATCCCTCACTGCTCTGCTCCACTCAGGCCTCACACTTCCCACAAAACAAAGACACCCCTCTCCCCCCGCCACAAGGTCAAATCAGAGGCACCCACCCACCCTGTCTCCAGTGCACAAACACCCTCAGCGTGGCCAAAACCACACTTTACCTGCCACCTGGCTGACGTCCTGGGACCAGAGGGACCCAGGAGGTCCATGAAGCTTCCATCCCCCCCAGGTACCCAAGCCCACAGACTCATATCCTGCATGGCTCAGGGTGGTGGGAGGTTCCTGCCTGGAGAGAAGAATGCTGTGGATCCCCAGCAGCACCACGGCACCTTCTCAGCCCTCATAGCTCTACCCAGCCCAGACCCCTGTCCTGAAAGTGGCCACAGCACCCGGGGACAGCAGAGTCAAGCAGGGCCCGCCCACTATCCACGCCCAGACGCACAGGCTGGGCGCGCCAGAAGGGGCAGGGACAGGCGCTGGGGGTGCGCTGCACTCACTCTGCTTTGCTGGGCTTAGGACCCGGAACATCAGCCGTGTCGTACTCCCGCACGTCCTTCAGTTCGCTCATCTGACCCGTCAGCACCTTGGTGGCAAAGGCCACGATGTACTGTGGGGGGGACGGGGGTGCACACAGGTGAGGCGGAGGCTGCAGCCACGCCCTGGCCTCCTGGGCCCAGGAGGCGGGCACCCACTCACCAGGAACCAGTAGAGATTCATGAGCGTGAGCAGCAGCAGCAGCGCATTGAAGAAGAAATAGAAGGGGATGTCGGGGACCGAGCGCAGGCTGCAGTGGCACGTGGCGTACAGGACCTTGAGTGGGAACCAGTAGAGGCGGAACCAAAACCTGCAAGAGCAAAGTAGGGGCGGGAGCTGGAGAGGACGCCATGTCCACGCTCCCGTCCTGTCCCATGAGGGCTCCTCCCTCATGCCCCCAAAATGCAGCCTCTTCCCAAAGGCGGTTCCCTGTAGTTCCCCGCCACGCCCACTTCCAAACCCCGCCTCCTTTATTAGCTCCTCCCACATTCAACTCTGACCACGCCCCTCCCCGCTTAGCTCCTCCCACGTGGCCCCACTCCTGCGCTTTGCCCATCCTACCTCACCAGGTCCCCCTTCCCTGCCTGGCTGGGCCCTCTTACACAAGCCCCACATCCTTCCATGCCTGGGTTCCGGTTCAGCTCCTCTCCACAAGCCCCACCTGCCGAGCCTTTCCTCTTTATCTGTGAACCAGTTTCATCCCCTCCGCCCCAGACCCGCCTCTCTCGGCCCCGCCCGCGCGCACCTAGCCCACCCTCCCCGCGCCCCGCACCAGCTGACGCTGAAGCTCACGCAGCCCAGGTCGGCCAAGAGCGCGTGAGCCCGCTGGGCAGCGCCGCCCCTGGACTTGAAGTAGACGTTGAGCTTGGTGAACTCCAGCTGCACGTCGCTGACGTCATGCAGGAAGAGCACGAGGATGCCCACGTTGTGGTACCTGGGGAGGGCACACAGGTCTTTCCTGCACCGCTGGGGCCGCCCTCACCCTGTCCCACTCCGGTTTCGCGGGTGCCCAGCCCCTTGGTCCCTCAAGGGCCACCGTCACGGGACCTGTCTGATGCCCCTTCCCTGTCCTTCCGCAGTCTGCCCCTAGCCCGCCCACCCCTGGGTTTCCTCTCCTGTGCCCTCCCCTTCCCCACCCCTCACACCTCCTCTTCACCCCCTAAAGCCTTACAATACCGCCCACAAACCTTCTAATCATTTCCTTGTCTGCTGATTTCTTTCCCTTGTTCTCACTTTTGAAATGCTATTTCTTGGCTTTCCTTGGTTTTATTTATTGGGGCGGGGCGCACGCAGGAAGACAATATTTGGTGCTGGGATTTGGTTCGGGTGGCCTGTTATTACCCCTATACCTGTATTTCTCGTTAGGGCTACAGCCGGCAGTTCTCAGGGAATGGTGCAGGGTGCCCAGAATTCAGTCTGGGTTAGCCTCGGGCAAGGCCTTACCCACTGCGCTATTTCTCCAGTCCCGTGTTTGTTTTGACCATCTGAGTCTACCCTGCAGAGGGATGGTGCTGTCCCATAGAGCTTTCTAGAATGATATAAGAATATTCCAGGGGGCTGAAGAGATAGCACAGTGGGTAGGGCGTTTGCCTTGCGCGCACCGACCTGGGTTCGATCCCCAGCATCTCATATGGTCCCCTGAGCAACGCCAGGTGTGAACCAAAAAAAAAAAAAATATTCCATGCCCACATCATTGTCCACTGTGGGGGGCCCCGGCCACACGTGGCCACTGGGCAGGCAGCATCACCTTGTGACAGAGGGCAGACTACACCGTTTCACGAAAGTGCTCCGTGACACCACCCCCCCACGCTCGCTCGGGCTCACCTTTGCCAGAGCAAAGAGATGACCCACGGGAGATTCCGTGACAGAGCCTCTCCCTGAGCAGCGTGAGGACCGGCACCCACAGGTACGAGGTCCACGTTTCGAGGCCTCTGCTCTGGATGTGTCTGCACCGGCACCCGGCCGGCACTGCACATGGGGGGCGGGGAGGGAGGGTAGGGGGGACAGGGCTGGAGAGACAGAGATGCATCTGCGCTTCCACGGCAGGGCCTCAGGAGAGCCTGAGCGGGAGGCCTTGCTGTACAGTGCCAAAGGGGCCACCCAGATGGAGGTAGAGGCTCTGCCACCATTTGCTCTGGGCGCTACCTGCAAGTGTGTTCGTGCATGTGTCGCTGCTCACCCTGGAACGCCCCGTGCATGCGCGGTGCTCACCGGAAGGCGTAGGAGGAGACGATGAGCAGCAGCGTGACCACGTGGTGCAGCAGCATGACCGCCGAGTCCCGGCGCCACGTGTCCATGTAGAGCGTGGCGTAGATGGAGTGGCCGTAGAAGCTGCCCTGCAGCAGGTAGGCGGCTGCAATGTCCCGGGGCACGGCCATGCCCGACGCCCAGTCTGGGGGAGAGAACCCCACACCCGTCAGGCACGCGGGCGGAGCACGCATCTCTGGGTCCCAGGCCTCTTCTTAACCCCGCTCCAGGGGGCCTAGTCAGAACTGCTTCAGATTGGGGGGGAAAGAGGCTCCGCTCCCCCTGCAGAATCCCCGAAGCTTCCCCTGGCCAGCTCTACACATGCCACTCCTCACGACCCCCATCTGCCCTCGCAGCCCCCCCTGCTGTGCTCCAGCCTCCCGCTGCCTCTGCCCCAACACCTCAGCCCAGAGTTCTCGGCTGAGGGCTTAGTTCTGGCCTTGCCTGTGAGGTCCTGGGTCCTACCCCACACCCCTGCAGCAGGGAAAAATACCAAAGTGGCTTCTGGGGGCTCCGGCACGCACCCCTGCAGCTCGTCCCAGCCTTCTCTGCGCTGTCCTCTCCTCTCGGAACCTGCTGAGCCCTCACCCAGCCCCAGCCCCGCCCACCACCCGCGGCAGTACCACCACACAGGCAGAAGATGAGCTTCAACGCGGTGAGTTCCAGGATGGTGAATTGGCCACCTGGTCTTACGTTTTTGGATTTTGGGGCCACATGACCTTGGTGTACCCACACTCCCCAAGGTTCTCACCTACTGGTGGGACAGGTCAGTGCCGAGATGTCATGCAGTGCCCCTAAACCTCAGCCCCCCCTCCCACCCCGGGAATTGTTCACTTCTAATCTGTTAATTTTAGGTTTTGGGGGAAGCCAAAGCCAGAAGTGCTCAGGGATCACTCCCGGCAGGCTTGGCAGGCCATAGGGGTAACCAGGATCCAACTTGACCAGCCGCGTGCAAGGCAAGCGCCCATCCTGCTATACCCCACAAAGATCAGGTCTCACCCACATGAGCTGGAGTGTCCCTAGAGCTTGACAGTAACCCCCACTCCTGTCCCAGCCACTTGGGGAGGTGAGAACTGCAGTTTTGGGGCTCAGTGCTCTCCCAGAACCAGCTCTGTGCTGTTCCCCAGACTGGAAGGGACACAGAGACCCCAACTTGTACCACTAGAATGGGGCAGGCACACCTCCCACCTCAGACCCAGATCTGGGGGTGCTGGGGAAGGGCCAGACTGCTCTTTCTCAGTGGGGCGCTCCCCCCACCCAGGCCCTCATTCCAGCAGCTTCACCTCTGGCCATCTGCTCCAGCCCGCCCCACAGCCCGGGTGACACTCAGCACTCGGAGGCTCCGCTCCCCCAAAGCACACAGCCTGTGTGAGGAGACAGCCGTTCAGGGTCTCGTGAGAACACAGCTTCCACTTTCTGCTGTCCTGGGGCCCCCAGGAGCCACTTTGCACAAACAGAGTGGGTATCTGCCCTCTGGTAACACACATCTCCACAGCACCCCCCTGGCACCGCCCCCCCAGCAGTCCCAGTGCAGGACAGCAAACTCGATCACGGGGAGCTCCACTGTTCCCGTTTCCCACAGAACCCTGCAGCCCAGCCCCATGCCCCCCTGAAGCAGGGAGCTGGGGAGCCCCAGGTTGGGCTACCGTAGAAGGCGGAGGGCGGATCGTGGAAGAAGGTGTAGTTGGTGCCGAAGAGCAGGTAGGCGCTGTAGCTCCAGGCGCCCAGGTAGAAGAGGAACTTCCACGCACTCTCGGGCAGCTTCGCGGCATCCTTGGGCGCCAGGCGGCAACGCAGTGCCAGGGGCTGCGGGCGACACAGACGCTGGCCATCAGTGCCAGGACCCCCCTGCAGGACCTGGGGGACGGGCCCCAGTCACCCCCATCTAACCAGCACGTCACTACGTGCTGGAGAGTAACCAGAGCTCAGGGTCGCTGCCAAGGCTAAACTTAGTGCCCAGCTGTCCTGTCCGGAGGCGCCCGGGAGTGGCGGGGGCCTGCGCCTGTCGCTGGGGCCTGGGGGGGGCATCCAAGGGGATCCAAGGCCCGCAACCATGGAGACCGCGGGTATCACCACCATTGGACAATAGGAGGATTCACAGAGGGCGCTGGGGAGAAAGAGATGAGGGGGGGACTCTTGAAAAGGGACTGGGGGGAGGGGCCTGGGACCCCAAGAGCTCTCCATGGTGGGGAGGTGCTAGGGAGGGAGAAGAAATCTGAGAAGCCCGGAGATGTGGAGGGGAGAAATGGGGTGCAGGACGAGGGGAGCAGGGAAAGGAGGTCATCAGGGAGGCCCGGGGAATTGGGGGGGCCGTGCCGGGGGCGGGGCTGTAGGGCTGCAGGCCCCGCCCCTGCCCGGGCCGAGGGGGCCGGCTCCTGGAGTTGCCTTGGAGACAGCCAGAGCCGGTAACCCCTGGCAACCGGGCGGCTGCCAAGGAGATGAGCAGGGGAGGCCTGCACCCCTCCGCCCAGTTCCGGGGAGCCCAGGCCGGGGCCGCCGGCTGACCCCCGCGGCCACGTGACCTCGTTGCACCCTGCATCCCCAAGCGCCCACATCCCCCTCTCGCTCGGGCCGGAAGCGCCCGGGTCCCGCGGCCCGCACTCCAGCGGGGGCCGCCAAGTTCCTCCCCCCTTGTGCGAGAGGTGGGGATGGGGGAGGGGACAGTGGTGGCCGGACAACACCTCAGCGCCGACAGACCAGGCCGGCCTCCCCCGCCGCCGCAGAAAGGCCCCTTTGTTGCCCGGGCGCTGTCCTTGTACCCCCCTGGCCACCTCCCCCGGGGCGGGGTGAGCTCCGCCGCACAGGAACGACGGGGGCGCGCGGCCAGCGGGGGAGGAGGGCCCGGGCGCCTTCTCAGCAGCGACCCCTCCCCAAGGCGGGCGGGAGGGCGGCCAGGCGTCAATGTCACCCCCGCAGCCAACCTCCACCCGGGGCAATGCTCCCACCCGCCTCCCCTCCCGGCGCGCCAAAGCCTCGGCTTGGCCTCGGGCCCCAGCGGGCAGCGCCCGGCGGCTCCGGAGCCCCAGATCGGTGCGTGGCCTCCGCGTTGGCCCCCAGGACAGCTCTGCGTCCGGATGGACCTCGGAGCAGCGGCCAGGCTCGGCCCTGCCCCAGCCGGGGAGCGGGGGTTCCCCGGACGACCGGCCCCGCCCCGGCCGCTCGTGCCCCGTTTCCCCCGCGTTCCCAGCCCCGCCCCGGGGCGCGGTGGCCAGGTGGGGGGCGCTGCCCCCGAGAGGGCCACACCTCCGCAGGTGCCTGCCGCCCCCCGCCCGGCTGGGCCCCGCGCACTGACCCGAAAGAGGCGCGCGGTGGCCGCGGAGCGCAGCGCCGTCCAGCCCAGCGCGCCCAGCGCCCCCAGGAGCAGCTCGGGGGGGGCCAGGTGCGCGTGCTCGGCCAGGCCGCGGCGCGCCAGCCCCCAGCCGCAGTCGCTGCAGCCCCGCGCCGCCGCCACGGCGCTGCCCCAGCCGCGCTGCACCAGCTGGGCATAGCTGGGCATGGGCTCGGGGCCCGCCGCCGCCGCCATGCCGCCCGCTCGCCCGCGTCACGCGCCGCAGCGGGGCCGGGGGCGCGCGGGCCGGAGCGCGGGGGCCGGGGGCGGGGCCGGCGCAGGCTCCGCCCCTGGGGTGCGGGGGGCCGCGGAAACGCCCGAGCGGGCCCGAGGCCACCCGGCGGCTCCGGCTCCGGCTCCGGCGCCCGGCGCTGTCCTGGGCGCGGGTTCTGCGGGATCCGCGGCGTGAGGCCGAGCCCCTCCTTCCCCTCCGCTGGCCGCTCGGAGGACCCGGGGTCCACCTGCCGGGCCCGACGGCGGCCGGGGACGCCGAGTTCACCAAGAGCACGGGCTTGTCGGGGTGCGGACACGGAGGCGCCAGTGCCTGGTCTGGCAGCACAGGGGGTGCGCTGCGCACCTCAGGTCCGCACACTGGGCCTCCTTGGGTGCCATCCTTGGCGTGCCCCCGCTCAGGGCCCGAGGTCGACTGCCACTCTGTGCGCTGGCCTCCCGGCGCCCGGGTGCACCCACGCTTGGCACTGTCAGCGGCACCCTAACTCAGTTCTTGAAAGCGGACAACGATTCCAGCCTCAGGGCTCGCTCCTGGCGAGGTGCGGGACGATATAGGGTGCTGGAGATAGAACCCGGGGATCTGCGCCCTCCCCTCTGTCTCCAGCCCCACCCCACTTCCTCCTCTACCCCCCTTTTTTTCACGTTTTGGGTCACATTGGGCGATGCTCAGGAGTTATTCTTGGCTGCACAGTCAGGAGTTACTCGTGGCGGTGTTGGCAGGGACGCTGGTGGTGGAACCCGGGTCGGTTGGGTGCTCGGCAAATGCTCTCCCCAAGGTCCTATCGCTCCGGCCTGACCTCACTTCTGAAAGCTCCCCCCACCCACCCACCGCACTGCCCAAGGGTATTTTACCCCTGGCTGGTCTCGCTCCTTGTTGCTTTTCTATGCTGGAGAAGCTCGTGTTCTCTCTTTAATGAATCCTTCCTTTCTTTCCTCCCATCTCTCTCTAAGAAAGTTCCATTGAATAAAAACGACTTTGTTTCAGTTTAAAAAATGAATAAAAATTGGGGCTGGAGAGATAGCACAGCGGGTAGGGCATTTGCCTTGTATGCGGCTGACCCGGGTTCGATTCCCAGCATCCCATATAGTCCCCTGAGCACCACCAGGAGTAACTTCTGAGTGCAGAGCCAGGAGTAACCCCTGTGCAACACCAGGTGTGACCCAAAAAAAGCAAAAAAAAAAAAAAGAATAAAAATGAATTCTGGTCGTGCCCTCCCTCCAGAACCTGCTCTCGGGCCCTCAGATCTCTGCAGAGGGAGCCCATCCTCGCCCACCGCCACAGCCCCCCCACGCTGACGTCCAGCAAGTGACTCTGGCTTCTGAATGTTTCAGGGGGACTGGGTCACCCCCAGTGGAGCGCGGGGTCTGCTCACGATTCTGGCGGGATTTAGGAGGCCCACTGCAATTGGTGCGGGGGGAGGGCACAGTAAGTTTCTAACCCACTGCACTATATCTATGAAGCAAACCCCTTTGTAAAGGTTTCCTGGCATGGTTGTCCCCACACCCATCACCCCACATTTCTGAGGGCACCGCTCTCCTCTCTGCTGAAGTTTTGGAGGTTCCCCTACATATGACTGTCCCAAAGCCTGTGACCCCTTGTTATCTGTTGAAGCGAAAGGGGGTAAGGCAAGACTCATCTCGGTACCCACACAGGTTGAGGTGAGGAACTGCTGTCCAAAGAAGCGGGGTGCTTGGGAGGGAATGTCTAGGACAGGGCAACTTTTCCTGCAAGCACACCACTTCCGCCAAGTCGCCACCAGATGGAGCTGTGATGCGTTTCTGTCATTCCCCAGGCCCGTTTCTCTAAGAAATGTCCACCCATGATCTTCTGTATTATGTGCAAGAGAGGGTGGAAATACCATTCAGCTCGGCACACCTCAAGTTTGGGGTGAAGGGACCTGATGTCAAAGGAAATGAAGCCGTGCCAGAGTGATAGGACAGTGGGTGGAGCGTTTCCTTGAACAGGGTGGACCTGGGTTCAGATTCAGCACCCCATAGGATCCCCTGAACTCCTGCAGCAGTGATTCCTGAGCATATAGAGCCAGGAGGAAGCCTTGACCACTGCCGGATATGGCCCCAAAACAAAACAAACCAAAAGAAATACACAAATACTCTTTTTTTTTTTTTTTAAAAAGGGCAGGGGCTGGAGCAATAGCACAGCGGGTAGGCGTTTGCCTCGCACGCGGCTGGCCCGGGTCCGATTCCCAGCATCCCATATGGTCCCCTGAGCACTGCCAAGGGTAATTCCTGAGTGCAGAGCCAGGAGTAACCCCTGTGCATCGTTGGGTGTGACCCCCCCCAAAAAAGGGCATAGGGGCTGGAGCAATAGCACAGGGGGTAGGGCGTTTGCCTTGCAAGCAGCCGACCCGGGTTCGATTCCCAGCATCCCATATGGTCCCCTGAGCACCGCCAGGAGTGATTCCTGAGTGCAAAAGCCAGGAGCAACCCCTTAGCATCGCCGGGTGTGTCCCAAGAAGCAAAAAAAAAAGGGCATAAAGGCTGCCTTTCTGTTTTTAGTTTTGGGGCCACAATCAGTGATGCTGGGGGAATTCGCTGTTCCTAGCTCTGCACTCAAAATCAGTGCTCAGGGGACCATATGGAGTTCCAGAGACTGAGCATGGGTCGGTCCAACGCTACGGGAGTGACCTAACCTCCCTGGATAGCCCCATCATTCTCCAAGGCTCCCGCTTCTCCCTTAATTAAAGTGTACATAATCAATGGCCTGGAAATCGTTCCCTAAACACGGGAAACGTCACTTCCACCATGTAGCCACAAGATGGCGCTGTGGGGCATTTCCCGCACGGCTCAGGGACTTTTTTTGTTTGTTTGTTTGCTTTTGCTTTTTGGGTCACACCTGGCGATGCACAGGGGTTACTCCTGGCTCACGCAGTCAGGAATTACTCCTGGCAGTGCTCCGGGGACTGTATGGGATGCTGGGAATCGAAACCGGATCAGCTGCGTGCAAGGCAAATGCCCTACCTACCCACTGTGAGATCGCTCCAGCCCCTCAGGGACTTTTTTTTTAAAGAAATGTGCAGCCTGACCTCCCTCCAGAACCTGCTACAGCTCCCCAGGACCCTCATTATTTCTCAGAGGGAGCCCTACTCTCTCCCTGATGTGGCAGCACGTGGCTCCAGCTTCTTTGTTTTGGCATGTCGAGTGTTGGCCGCCACAGCAGCTTCTGGGCATGCGGGAGACCCTCGTGCTGGAGTTAGGAGCCAGGCGGCAACGGCAAGGCTGGTGCTTCCCCACAGTTCCACCCCCTCCATCATGGCCATCCCCAAACTCTTCGCCTCAAGTTTCTAGGTGTACCCCTTTCCTCCTTCTGGCCAGGGCTTTGGGGAGTACTCAAGTCCTCTGTTCTCCAGAAGGGTGGTCAGAGCAAGATTCAGCTCTGGCGCCTCCACAAATTTGAGTTGAATGTATCTGTCATCAAAGGAACAGTGTTGCCTTGTGAAGAAAACACAGCAATCTTTGAACTGAACGATCACTGAACCTAGGACAGGGCAGTCTCCTTCCCTGGAAATACACCATACACCACTTCTGCTGCAGAATTTTAATTTTATTTAGATGTTCAGGGTAGGCTGGCAGGGTTCTGGGGACCATTAGGAATGCCTGGGATTGAGTCTCATCTGCCACAAGAAGGCAAGTTTTTTTTCTCTTTTGTATTTTTTATTTTGGGGGTTACTCCTGGCTTTGCACTGAGGATTACTCCTGGCAGTGCTCAGGAGACCATATGGGATGCTGGGAATCGAACCGGGTCGGCCGCATGCAAGGGAAACACTGTGCTATTGCTCCGACCTTGTGCTTGATCCTTAATGACCGTCAGGAGTGATTCTTGAGTGCAGAGCCAGGAGAACACCCAAACCATAAACAAACAAACAAAACAGCCTTAGTCCCTTGATGTTGAATCCTTTCACCCCAACTGGAGGGTTCTGAGTTCCACTTGCCCCCCTCCACCTTGTAGCACAGGATTGGGGCATCCTCAGAATGTGGGGTGATGGAGTGTAGGGTTGACCATAACAATAAACCTTTCCAAAGGGAGATAACAAAGTGGGTTCAGAACTTTCTTGCTCAAAGGGCAGAAAACACAACAACAACAAAATAACATTGTCTTGTTCATAGCAGACCAGGTTCAATCCTCAACCCCTCATGATCCCTAGAACTACACTGGGGTGACCACCCCAACCTCCAAGAGGAGAGTCAGCTATGTACCCCTCCAAGTTGGGATGGCAGGCATCGAACCTGTGCCCGCCTAGTGCAAGACAAGTGCCCTCCCGGCTCTGTATTGGATCCATGGCCTGAGGCTGCGAGCTTGATCCTTAATGACCCCACACCTAACACTGAAGCAAAGAAAAGGGCTGGAAATCTTAAGCGTCGCAAAGTCGGGCCGAGGCAGTTCCACCAAAACGCCACAAGATGGCGGTATGGGTGTTTCCATCCCTCCCCAGTCCCCGTTCTCTAAGAAATTTCCACCCTTGGGTTTGCTTCAGTGTTAGGTAGGGGGTAATTAAGGATCAAGCATGCTCCTATGCTCCTTCAGGCGGTGCTGCAGTAGTAGAGCCGGGAAGGCACTTGATTTGCTCTCAGCAGAACCAAGTTTGATTTCCGCCACCCCAACTCCATCCCAACTTTTGCGGGAATCTCCTTTGGGGTTTTGGTTAGGTCATCCGGTGTAGTTCTAGGGATCATGAGGGGTGCTGAGGATCGAACCTGATCTGGCACAAGCAAGGCAAGGTGCTTTGGTGTTTTTTGTTGTTGTTCTCTTTGTTTTGAACAAGAAAAGTTCTGAACCCACTTTGTTCTGAACCCACTCTCTGACTGATCCCTTTGGAAAGGTTTATTCTTATGGTCAACCCCACACCCAATCACCCCACATTCTGAGGGTGTCCCAACCCTGTTCTACAAGGAGGTGGGGGCATGGAAGCAAGATACAGCCCAGACCCCTTCCCCCCCAGTAGGGGTTAGGGGAGCCTCCATCAGGGGATTGAGACTGCTTTGTTCTTATTTCC